TTCCTCCTGCTATATTTCTGTAGTCAACTTTAACCCTGAAACCACCGATTTATGAGAAGTCTTATAAGTGGAATCATACAGTACACAATTTTTTTGAGACTGGCTTTTTACACTCCACATACTTTTGAGATTAACCCAAGTTGTCTTGATAGTTCTTTTTTTTTTTAATTGCTAAATAGCTTTCTATTGTATGTAGGTACCACTGTTTGCCTAGCCACTTGTTAAAAGATAGCTGGGCTGATTTCAGTTTTGGCAAAGAGTGTTTCTGTAAATATTCATGCACAAATCTTTGTATGAGTATAGTTTTCCTTTCTTTAAGGTAAATGCCAAATTATTAGCTTAATTAGGATCTTGGATCATGGTTTTGGTATCACGTCCAAGAACTCTGCCTAACACCAAGTCACAAAGATTTTTTGCAAGATTTCATAGTTTTACATTTTGATCTATGAATTATTTTGAGGGTTTTTTTTTTCCTTTTTGCTTTTTCATAAATGTGAAGTATAACTTGAGGTTCACTTCTTTTGAACGATCTGTTGAATTGCTTTTGGCAACTTTGTCAAAAATCAGTCAGTCATATTTCTGGGGGCTACTTCTGGACAGTCTGTTCTGTTCCATTGATCTAAGTGTCTTTTCCATCAATACTGCACTGTCTTGATTAGCGTTGCTTCTAGTAACTCCCAAAATAGGGTAGTGTAACACCTTCAACTGTATTCTTCTTTTTCAAAATTATTTTGGCTATTATACTTCTGCTTTTCCATATCAATTTTTGAGTCCTCTTGTTTATGTCTACCAAAAATTGTGCTGGGGATATGAATGGTACTGTATTACATGTATAGATCATTTGAGGAGCTGTGGTATCTTTACTCTGTTGAATCTTACCATCCATAAGCATAGTATATCTTCTCTACCCAGGTAGACCTTTTTGATTTGTTTCATCTGCATTTGTAATGTTCAGCACACAGACTCTATACTTGTAGTTTTAAAAGTATTAATTTTTAAGTTTGATTTTTAGATTTGAAATAGTTTGAAATTTCGATCTCCAATAGTTTATTTCTAGAATACAGAAATATAATTGATTATTATGGGAGACATTGAATGTGGCCTCACATTATTTTCATTCTAAATGGTATTATTTGTTAAATACAATAAAATTGCCTGTGAAAAAATTTTCCTTCCTTTCCAATTTGTGTGTAATTCATTTTTCTTGCCTAATTAAACTTAGTAGGACTTTCAGGACAGTGATTAATAGAAGTGATAAAAACTTTCAGTCTTTCACCAGTAAATATTATATTAGCTATACTTTTTTTTTTTTGGTAGATGCGTTTTATACCATTGGAGAAGTTTCTTTCTAGTCCTACTTTGCTGAGAATCTTATCATTAATAGATGTTGAATTTGTCAAATGCTTGATATATTTTTAAAATTTCTATTTTTACTATTTTAATAGTTTAAAAATACTTACTTGACTCCTTTTATTAAATATCCATTTCACTTAAACTTCTTTAGGCATCTGTAAGTGGCCATGTCAAATTAATCTACTTCCACAAATAAAGAGCTTCCCCAATTTTAGCCGACACGGTTCAGTTTTAGCAGGTGCTTGGTTTTGTTTTTTCTCAGACATTCATTTTTAAAATCATGATGTATTTTTCATAGGTCTAAAAGAATGAGCAAGCTGTAGAAGATGACTTATCTAGCAATAGTTTATTAATTACTGCTGATAAAGATTCTGATTTTGTATATAATTTATGAATATAGTATAATTTTCTGAATACTGTAGAGAAGTATAATGACAAATAATCAAAGAAACCATTCATATCCATTTTGTGGATTGCTTGATAACTGGTTTATTTCTTTGTGTTTTCTGTACAAAGAAAAGACTATCTAAATTTTTATTTTCTTCACACAAAATAAGTAAAAAAAATCAACATAGGAAGAAGGCACACTGAATTTTATAAGTAAGTGCAGCTCTGTTACTGTTTTGAGCAAATAATCGCTTAAAAAACATAAACCTTTTGTCTTTTTATTCCTGACTTTGAAATAAATTAAAATAATATCTGCAGTATCTACTTCAGATCTTTTCTGTAACTATCCACCAACTCAGCCTACACCCTTTTTTATAATAAACAAATTATATGTATTACCAGTAATAGTTAAAACTCACTGTGTTCAGGTTGAGTTTGAGGGGAAAACATTTTAGTGATCATTTTGTATGGACGAGGATAAAGTTTCCAGGAGTTATAAATATTCATAATTAATTACTCTGCTGAGACCTAAAAAGCAGCAAGTAGCTGCCCTCAAATTTTACTTTCTTTCTAGACTTAAAAGATAAGATTTATAAATGCACTAGGTAGAATTCAGTGCTGGAAAATATCTGCAAGCCCTTCTACTTCTAAATTAAATGATGTGATACATATGGCTGTTTTTCTCTATTTTTCATTTTTCTATGCAAATTTCTTATTTTATATTCCAATTATTTTAAATGAGTTTTCTGACACCCTTGGAGCCTGGATAATGAAAATGTTATTTTGTATATTAAAGCCAGGGTGGTTTTTACAGTGAATTAGTTATATGTTTGTTAAAGGCCAAATGGCTATTTCATTATGGTAATTATAAACACATACACCATCTCTCACATTCCTACCTATTTTAATGGAGGAATGCAGGCATTATTATTAAACGTCTGGTATTTTGCTCTTAATTAAGTTCTAAACTTTTAAAATTGTATTTTGTGAAATTTATAATAAACCAATTTCTTTCTTTCTCTCCTTTTTGTGTGCATTTTTTTTTACTTCCCTCCACATGCATTACTCCTCCATATATATTTTCTTCTCTCTGCCTTCTCTCCTTTCTTTTTCCTTGCCTTTCTCACTGCTGTTATATTTCTTCTCTCTTTTTCCCTTCAAAATTCCTTTCTTCCTCTCTCTTGTTTTTCCATTTTCATCAAAACAGTATTTGGTAGCTATATCATTTTCCAGTATTCAGCAAGCACTGATACATACATACAAACATACACACATATGCTTGGAAACACACACATAATTTGAAAGCAGCTCTTCATTTAATGAGAAAATGTAGTTTATTTTTTAGTTTCTCTTATTTTATCAGAACTTCTTAGAACATTAGTTATAAGCAAACATTTTTAGATACTATTAGAACAGGGGAAAGAAACTTTCCCCAATGTTTCTCCCTGTGCCAAATTGCATAGGGACCCACTTTCTAGGATGCTTCACCTAATTAAAGCCATTAAAATCACAAGATTACTTATAAGAGCACTTGGATTTTAGAGTTTCCTCTTTCACTTTAGTTTTTAGTCTCTCCTTAATACCCAGAATCCTATTTTTTCTGAAGTGTTCTAAGATATTCATACTTAGCTTTTAACTGACAGCAATAATGGATTGGCTACATGTTTTTGACCAATTCAAAAGATAACTCAATTTTATTAAATTAAAATGTGGAGTTTCTAAGTGATTAGAGGTTTAAAAATTGGCAAAACTCTTTTGCAAACATTTTTGCCTCTGGGATTGATTTCCACTATTATTTTTTAATGACGATCAAGTTATCCTTAAAAAAATTCATAGTTTGTCATTTTGAAAACAAAAGATAAGGTGCTTCACAGAATCTAGAAAGTAGTAGAACACATTAATGAAAAACGCCTGCTACCAACTGCTAATTAAAGCAGATTAGGAGTGAGAAATGAATCTACCCTGTTTACCTTTATCTTTGCATTTATTTTGATAAAGCTCATGTGACCAACAACAAAAAATTACAAATGAAGGAATTTGTGAGGGATTTTTTTTCTGTCCCCAAACTTCCAACGGACAGCAACACTTAGTACTTGAAGCTGTTACTCTTAACATGTTTTTGTTTTTGGTTTTTTTTTCCAATAATACTTCAACAATGTCAAATTATTTAAATTATGACCTGGGTAGAAAAAAGACTACTGTTAGTTTAAATTTGCCTTATTTAAAGGAAAACACATATTGCGCGACATTAAGCCTTACCTTGGGCCCTCTGCTTCCTGAATTGCCCGCCCCTGTGCCTCTGCCACTGTCATGCTGGGTGATCTTGTCGGAGCCCATAGCTGCTTCAGAGCACAATGGCGTGATACGAAGTGATGCCGAAAACAGAAGCAGCTTTGTCGCGGAGTCAGCTGCAAGAAGAAGTAACTTGTATGAATGTACAGTATAGGGAGATCTATGAAAGATCTAGTCTCTTTCTCCCAAAAGACCCTGTTCCATGATACAAGGAGAATTCAGTTCTTTTTGGCAGACCTCCACGTCAGTTTGGAAGCAGCAAAAACAGCCAAGAAAACAAGCCTGGTGTATCAGTGCCTTTACTCTCCATGTGTGAAGTAACATTTTACTTCTCATTTTTCTTTTACTCGTTTTTTAATAACCAGAAAGCAGCACCCCTGCCATTGCCTTGTTTGAGAACAGTCTTCACCGCAGGAATAGAGATGATAGTGAATTATAGAGATGAGTTCAACCATATGCACCATGGTTGTATTCGTTATTGGCAAATTTGAAGCAAAGGCCCGTACCTCTTGGTTGAGGAGTGGATGACTTTAGCATGATATTACATCAAGGAAGGCATAGAATCCCAGCAGATGATGTAATTATGTTTTAAAATGAGTATTATTAAATAATTCACACTTTTAATATGGAGAAATGAGGTCATTTTTTTCCACTCCTCCCACCAATATTCCATCTTAATATCTAAATAACGAAAACAACGCAGTGTTATCCATCCTGGGTGCTCAGGGAGGATGCCAGTTCTGACGGCTCATTGTTTATTTTAACAGGTAATTTGTGGACCGGAATCATTTAATTGTTCTGAGTACATAATTACATGTCAGCCATTTCCAATTTAATTAAAATGTACAAATCTGAAGATTAAGGGAATTTTTGAATTATTAATCATTTTTCCACTAGGAAATCTTGTTGCTCTGCAGGAGATTTGTCCAGTGTACAACTATACGTATTTTTTTCCTTCTCTTTCACAGACAGACAATTTTCCCGCAGAGCCCAATTACATGGGCAGCAGGCAGCAGTTTGTTCAAAGGTAAGGCCTATTAAATAACTTTCTCGGCTTCCCCGTTTGCATTTGTGTCCACATTGCTTTGCAAGAGACTACACACTTCAGGTTCCAACTCGTAGAGACAACACTTTCTCTTCTTTTTCTTTATATGTATTTCAGTAGCTCCACGTTTAAGGACCCAGAAAGAGCCAGCCTGAGAGACAGTGGGCACGGGGACAGTGATCAGGCTGACAGTGACCAAGATACTAACAAAGGCTCCTGCTGTGACATGTCTGTTAGGGAGGCACTCAAGATGAAAACGACGTCAACTAAAAGCCAACCGCTTGAACAAGGTGAGTGAAGCCTTCCAATGCTTACCACGTGCGAGTGTATAGGTTAAGCCGTTATTATACACCTCTGAGCGCTAGACTTCCAGGTTATCACGGTGGCATGGACCATTGATCACGTCTCAAAAGGGCCAGCACATTCCAAGTTGGTCCCAGACAGAAAGCAGCTGTTCAATACCTCAGTCACAACAGGAAAGGGAGGCCATGGATCTTAGCCTTTCATCTTCTAAACATGAGAACTTGATCAAAGTCACTAACTGTGTGTTCTGATCTTCGTGAATATTCCCTAATCTTTCCTAGTTTGCACCTTATTAACAATGAAAATATGGCATATATTAGCTAGAGGTGCATTTTTTGATATACTAATGACAGGATTCAAATTGTAAATTCGACACTTTGAGGTGAAATGGAAACTTGACTGGAATTTTATAGCTCTTAGCAATGTTGGTTTATTTTTGTGTGAAGTTTAGGTTTTAAGTAGTTTTGAAAGAACCAAATAACAGCTAAGCCAGAGTTTTAGCTCCTTTCGTTTTGATTTAGCTGTCTTCATAGATACAAATAAGCATGAATTTGTTTACCAATTTAGAGATAAAAAAAAATACATCTTAGTAAATACACATATTTTTATAAAAGTCTATTTTCAATTTATTCATTTATAAGCTTTTTTGTTATTATTATTGTTATTATTATTATTATTATTTTAGCTGAGCCATTCTGCCTCCTGTTGGCAGCTCAGCCGCAGCGGCGGGCAGGAACTTGAACTGCTGTTGCTCAGAGCTTGCACTCTTGCTGGAGCTCTTAACCCACTGAGCCACTCGGTTGGCCCCTATATGCCTTTTTAAAAAGTAGTTTTCATGTGTTCATTGTTTCAAACACAATGGAATATTTGGTAATGATTCATCCAAAGGGAATTAAATTACTTTTGTGTGTGAGATTTAGAAACTATGAGTAGGTGATTTTTATGTCCAGTTGTAAAAAATGAAAAGAATTATTATAAGAATTGGATTTCAGAATTACAGTTGTATGTTATATTAGTTAATGTAATGTTAGTTTCCAAATATTAACAGTATTTAAATATATTTCATATTTATCATTTCAGTTTTGTAATGAGAAACTATATTTATTCTATATAGACATAGCTGCTAAGTCATTTATTAATTGATTCACAGAAACTAATTTTTTGCCAGTAGTGCAGGCTGTCCTATCATATATACTTTAGCAGATATAATGCTTAGTTTTCTAATCATGTTAAAATTGTAATACAAGCATACATACACAAACATGTATGTTTAATAAATAAATAAGATAAATAAATAAATATAAATATTCCTGCACTGAATATAATTACACTGGATTATTTAAGGATATTTAAGGTTGACCTCCCTCAGAACCATCTTTTCTAAGTTATAAGTGCCAGATAACTTTTTTTCTGACCTTTCATAGCAATTTTCTGTGTAACAATGCAATATTGTTTTTTTAAAATTATTTTTAACAAAAGCTTCTTAATACACAGTTTCTGCAAATTTTAATGTTTACTTAAAGGGACTTAAATCGCCTTGATGTGTTGTGATTGTGCAATAGTATACAACATACGAATCTTTTAGACACGTTTTAAATAATGGGTTGTTGAATCTTGAATGTGAATGCACAGCGTAAGATAGACCCATTTATGTGTATAATAAAGTGACTAACAGATAATTTATTGGCTACTATTTTAAAGCTACATAAATTAAGTAAAGAGTTTGCCTTTATTGTTATATCTTCATGAGAAACTTAATCAAAAACAAAAACAAGTACACTGCTGCACACATTTATGCTATAATTCCTTTTCATCCACTAAGCAGTATCTTTGATGGGATGGAAAAGACCCCTATAGAAAAATACAGTGCTTTCATTTATGTTCAAAATATAATTTATACCTAAAATGTGTTTTCAAGAAATTTTTGATATATGTAAAAAAGTAATATCTTAGAAAGGTTGCTATTATTCTTAAAAAACATATATTTGGCATATATTTTAATTAATATTACACATAAAATATTGCTAGTCAAAAGAGTAAGAATGCCAACAGAAATGTCTCCTGTAAAACAAGTAGTTTCCATACATTCTTATTAATAAATATGGGAAAGTTTTTATGAATCTGAAAGCCACAGTTAGGTAATCTATGAATTATATGAGACAGAGACCAACTTCTACTTTAAAACATGAATTTGAAGGATTAGCTAAAATAGCATTTCAGATTGATTGATTAGATTCATTAATGCACTTATTTAATAAATATCTATTAAATGCTTTCAATATATAAGGAAAGTTAGATTCTTTAGGAACATCAAAAATAAATTTGACTTGGACCCTGCCTTCAAGAAACTGTGTGTAATGAGCAGAAATGGGAGATCTTTGTTTCTATTTCTCTATTTCTCCATCTCCATCTCTATCTTTATCATCTCTATTTCTGTCTCTATCTCCATCTCGCATTTCTCATCTCTCATTTACCAATATCTTCTATCTATCTATCTTCTACCAATATCTTCTATCTACCAATATCTTATCTATCTTCTTATCTATCTCTATCTACCTCCCACATATCTCTTTCTCTCCATTATCTACATCATCCTTTTTATCTATCTATCATCTATCTATCTATCAATCATCTATCTATCTATCTAGCTATCTACCTATCATCTTCTATGTATCTGTTTAAATCTATTTATGTATCTAGGTCCAGAGGAAGAGCTAGCATTTACTGAGTTCTTATTACTTGCCATAAACTGTGCTAGCTTCATTTTGCATTAGCTTATTTAACCTGCGAACTCCAACACAGCTACCGTTTTTATCTTACATCTAAGAAAACTGGCCGTTTATTAACCTGCATAGCATGTTGGAGTTTAATCCTAGGTCAAAATATGGCCAAAATGTGTGTCTTCTCTACACATCTTTGTCTCCAGTGAGAGAATTTTTCTCAAATTGACATTCTGATTTATTGCTATGACCTTATATCAAATAAACATTGAAAAGTAAGTTAAAACCAGAACTCATGTATATGAAACTAGGGGAGCAGAACATCAAAATCACTCATATGCTATTAAATGAATTATTCAGTACTTAAAACTTATTATATTTAGTTTTCATTATATTTATAGATAAGTAAGTATTGCTTTTCTCACAGTGAATAGATACTAAGAAACTTTCTCAGTATTTTGCAGCTATAGGTAGTGAACTCGGCATTAGAAATGAAATAGCATGCTTTCAGAGCCTGCCCTCTTAACCAATGCTCTATACTCATCACATAATAAATGATTCACTCAGAAATAATTTTAAAATGTTTGAAGAAGCAATCAGTCTCTGTCTTGGCCAATGTACTCTGTTAATTTATTTGAAAAGCATCATGAGAGACAACACCAAATTAATTCAGTGCACACCTAGAAAGAATAATTTTTTTTACAGATGAAAGATGATGACAGCTGTATTCAAACAATTATTTCATGTCAGATTTCAAATATTAAATTCTAATCTTTAATACCTTTAAAAATCTTCTAAGAAACAAAAGTAGATTTTCTCTTAAGAGAAAGAAACTAAGAGCTAGACAAAAAGAAACTTGTTTATCAGTCTTTTTCTCTTACGAACAATTTGTAGCAGTGCTTTCACAGATTTCAATTAAAAAATCAGTAGCATGTTATGTTTTACATTTTTTTGGTATTAGTTTAGTTGGCTTCTGTCCCTATTTAAATGATCTCAAGTAAGAAAAATAATGTTGTATTTCTAAATGGAAATATTTATTTAACTTAGAAATTAAAATCAATTCCAAAAATAATATTCACAGTTTCAATGGAAAGTCTAATTCTAATAATGTTTCCTTTGCCAATGACTTAGGTCTTCTGAGATTTTATGTTATCAGTTCAAATGTTACTTTTTTTTCTTTTGTGCAGCTAGATTTTTTTTCCACTCTGTTCCTGATGCTTGTGTATGTTTGCTACCATCAGTTTAATCATCCAAATATATAGCACAATTATGTGTTGCCCAATATTTTAGCAAAAACATTTGAAAGGGTTCAGTAGTAAATTGAAGGTGTGGTGTTGCATTACAGCTGAAGATAGCTTTAAAGATTTTATGTTAATAAACCCTCTAATAGAAAGAGGTTATTTTAGTTTGTTGGGTTTTTTTTTTGGTCTGATTTAAAAGAAAAAATATATACTTCCTTTATATTTGATTTCATTTTTGTGCTGTCTTTTTTTTTAAAAATAAGAATTTCTCCATTTTCCCTTCACCAAATATTATTATAGATATGTAGGTAGATAGATGATAGATAGATAAATAGATAGATGATAGATAGATAGATAGATAGATAGATAGATAAAACAGTACAATACAAATGTTTTGGATATTAGTTAGAAAGGCAACTATATATATTTCTATCTAATAAACATTGTTTTCAGAAAATGACATAGAAAATTTATCAACATACTCTTGATCATATTATGCTGATTTTATGTTTTGGAATAAGAAAAAAATATATCAAGAACTAATAAATTGCATATAATATTATTTCTGCAAATACAGTATTATAAAGAATAAAACTTTCCAAAAATTTTAAGGTAACTTACTTCTTATGCCTCAGAATATTATTCAATCTTTGGCTTCTTGGGAAGTGCTGTGCTTTTAAATTTCTATCCACTAGAAGTCCTGTAAATTATTTTGATTGTTAGCAATAACCATTTCTTCTATTACAAGATTTAATAAGCTTTCCCTAAAATTCAGTAGTTTCTATTGATTCCCAAATAATAAATGTGCAATTTTCATAAATGCTGACTTATGATTTCTCTGAGCTCCTTACTGATACCAAGTGATCGTTTTTAATTTTCCAAGGATAATCGGTCTTTTAATCTTTATAATTGACTGAAACCGAGTTCTTGAAGCCTGGAGTTAGTGTAATAGTGTTATATATTGTGGCTGTTGACAGCCCATGCCAGGATTTGCAGTGATAGCGTGATTATCACAAATCTAACCCC